AAGGCAGCTCTCTTGGTTCTTTGAGGAAGTTAAAAATCTGACTTAAGACCTACCGGGAACTTCTCTAGGGTCAGCCGTTTCCATTTCTAAAATGAATTCACGTGCTCATGTTCTCAATTACCTACAGAACAAATCAAGGGCCTTTAATGTCAAGAGCTCACATGGGTTTGAGAGTTGGCTTAGTGGTTAAGAGTTCATACTTGCTCACAAAAGACCAAAGTCAGGTTTTAGGGCCCCTGTCAGGAAGCTCACAACTACCTGTAACTCCACCTTCAAAGTGATTTGATTCCTCTGGTTTCCATGGGCTGTGACACTCATTTATACATACCTACTCATAGACATATACAGGCACATACAAATAAAAATTAATGTTAAAACTAATTATCTCAAAAGAAAAGAATTACATTAAATATGACTGTTTCCCTTATAAATATACCTAATAAGATCACTGCATACATGAATACTCACTAGTGGATACTACCATTTCTTCTGCATAGGAATTTTGTAATATTTACACTCAAAGTCAGCCTTTAAAACATCATTAAGTATCATCCTGAAAGCAAAGAATGTGTTGAAGTCAATCTTTTTTTTCCCTAAAATGTATTTTAAAGGTGCTTCATGTTTGAAATATCTAATAATGTTCCCACCTTTATATGCTGCATTTGATTTTGCATCTGGAAGACAGATCTGTGTAAGTAAATGAGAAAGCATATACAACCATACGATGGCCTAGTTCTCTATTGTCCCCAGATGACGGCCTTGTAGCAGGGCTTAACTGCTTTTCTCTACCCAAGACTTCTATGTAAAATACCATTGCTTGGAATTATTTGGCTAATTGTGCAATGGTAACAGAATTATTCTGAAATAAATCGCCATTTTTTTTAAATAAACTGATGCAAGACGCTGAGGGGGTAACTCAGGGATTAAGAGCACATGCTGCTCTTGCAGAGGACCTACATTTGGTTCCCAGCACTGCCATGACAGCTGACAGCCATCTGAGGGATATATTGTTCTTTTCAGACTCTGAAAGCATTAGAGACGCATAGAGACATAAATACATATGCACACAGACCCAGATAGTCATACACATAGGTAAAGCCATCTTTTAAATAAGTATTTATTATTCTCACCTGACACTTGTTCATGCCAGGCCATGATGGGAGGTGATGGGATTCTTTAATCTCATTGATACATAAGCTTTCTGGAACACTAACTCCTTAGAATAGTGAAGTTACTTACGGCTGTAGTTTAGAATGTTTTGGGATATGTCTTTCAGGGTCCATGAGAAGTAATGGACCATTATGACTAAGTTCATTTCATTTTGGTGGAAGGGATCCTTTAACAACCTGTTGGGCAGAGTTATCTTTTCCTTCTGTGGATCTCTCCGCATTATCCTGTCATCCATGTAGGATCCTCAACCCGCCCACCAGCATGCCTGAGCCATGCTCTTGACCTCCCAGAGGTGAATTAAACAACCTTGTTTCTTTCTGCAGCCATTTCACCTCAAGGACCTCAGCTAAGGAACAAAAATAAATAGTGACACCATCCCTGACTGGGTGTAGAACTTTGGAAGGTCTTAAGCTGCCTATTAAATTCTGTGGTCATGAATTTGTACAACTGTCATCAAAAGCAAACACATAGTCCCATCCACCTGAACAATAGACAAGAACCATGGCTGCCCCTCTACTCTCCTATGAAGGAAATAACTAGAAGTAGCTGATGAACAGTAAATAGACACACTTTCGTATCAAGAAGAGATCCTTGATTTTCCTTGTGTTCTCAAAGCCATCCCTTCCTCCAGAAATACAGTCCCTTCACTACGGATGAAGCACCTACCTGTTCTGGGAAGGCTATGCCATCTTTCTTTATCTAAGTACCACAGCCAGTCAAACAGTCTAGTGTTTCTCTCATCTTCATTCTTTGGTGAATGACAAAGATAGGAGACTAACATCCTTACCGATGTAGATGTGGAGAGGTGATGGCAATTAGAAACACATTTGTAAGTTAGCGCCTGCCTGTAGGGTTCACCGTGACCAATGGCAAACTGATTTCCCTGTTAGAGGTCTTCTACCTATGACTCATTCCTTGTAGTCTTCCCAGGAAAGGCTTTGAATTTTGAACAGACAAATTTGTCGACTAAGCAGATGCCTCTCACTTCATGAAGCAGCAGCCAGCACTAAGGCAGCAAAGGAATGGTTCACATCTGCTCAAATTAGTTTTCATGGGGTTGATGGAGCTGGCCCTGCACCTTCCAGACAGAACACAGAATTCTTCCTTCTAATTATTTCCTCTCAGCAATTTCCACTCAACAAATCTGCATTATGGCCTTTCAGACACAGACTCATCATGAGGGTCTAACCAACATCGGCACTTACTGTTCAAGTCATGGGACAGCCAAGCCATTTCAATTTTGGGAGTGACTTCCTGTGATTCTCACCACATGAAAAATTTGGGTTAATTTCATGCATAGTAAATTTCCTCTGTCAGTTATTTTGTTATGTTAATAATTGAGTAAGTCATGTAAAATCAAACCGTGTCTTGAAAGTATATGTGTTTTAGGGTGATAGATAGTTATTTCCTGTGGAAGGTATTTATTTCCTATGTATTTTGTAGGGCTTTTGGCAGTATAACTCAAGACATACGTGCATCTGGATCTCTAGCTAAAGATATTTTCTATGAAGAACTTAAAAATTTCAAGGTAATTACTTTAAAATCATGAGTTAAAGATATTGTAAGGACAACACTTTTATCCTAGCATGAGATCGAGATATGGATCATATGATTAGATATGGTTCTAACAAATCCCTAATGTATGGGTCTTAATAAATGAAATATCAGTAACATGAAATAATGGACCAATGGAATTATAAACTAGATGATTCTAAGAGTAAGACAAATGAAGAAAACAGATAAAGTAATACAATGTGGGATTCCCTTCTGTATGCTATGAATATCTCTTATTACCATTGGCTATTAACGAAGCTGTTTCAGCCAATGGTTTAGTAGAGTAAAGCCAGGTGAGAAATTCAAACAGAGATATATAGAGAAAGTAGACGGAGTCAAAGAGATGTCATGCCGCTGCCAAAGGAGAAAGACACCAGCCACCAGCCAGAACATTCCCGGTGGGCCATAGCCTCGTGGCTATTCACAGATTAATATAAATGGGTCAATTTAAGATATGAGTTAGCTAAAATATGCATAAGCTATTGGCAAAACAGTGTTGTAATTAATATAGCTTCTTTTTGATTATTTGGGTGTGGGTGACCGGGAAATGAAGGAGTGGTCTGCGTACATTAATAGATAGATGATAGAAATAAATAGAAATTATAATGAATATACTTTAAAATTTGATTATATGTTTTCATTCTGTAGTTAGGGCATGTGTGTACACATTCATGTCATATTAATTGTCTGCAAACCGTTCTTTTCAATACTTTGCATGGCACTATGAGGTCTTAATGCAGTTAGTTTTTCCCTGTTGGGAACATCTCATTTTAGATAATGAAGAATAGTGCACCTTGGCCAAATTGTCATGAAATTCAAATGAAGAAGTCTAAATTAATGAGGTCTTAGTACACTTGGCACATGGTGAGAACCAAGATCAGATAATCTTCAGATTCTGAACCAATGGCAATTTAGCTTCCCTCTTCAGACACGTCAACCTGATTTAACAGTTGGCCAGGTTTATTAAAAAAAAAAAATACCCCTAGCACACTTCTTAATTAATTTGAGATACCATCAAGTTCTGTGGCTCATGTCTCAACTGCTGACATAAACACACCCTACCCCCACTAACTTCATTATATACTCAAGTGTTTTTTAAGTTGAACATAAGATTGTTTAAACTGAGGTATTCAAAAAGGGGGATTTTATACTTCTGTTTCTTTGTTTAAATGGATTTCTAATTCCTTTATCATATAGCTGTTAACTCACTGTTAAATTTAATTTTACAAATCAATTGCAAAATCTTTGGGTTCTCTCAGGTCTCCTCAATATTGAAATTGATGTGAAGGGTTTTTTTTTGTGTCAATATTAAGAATTAATATGTCTTTTGAGTCAGGTCCTTAGACTTACAATGGTGACTTCAATAATTATTTACAGCTTGACAAGATGATACCTTTATACTACAGCACTTCTGGGATAGAAGTAAAATAGTCACAAGTTCAAGGCTAGCCTAAGCTATGTAATGAGACTGAGTCTCAAAACACACACACAAAATATATATGGAAAACCCATACATATTATAAGTTCATGTGAATGTATGGCAGAGATATCTAAAAGGAAGTTCTGTAAAGGCCTTAGTGCAGATGTGAGCATGGGAATTCAAGAGCATTTTAAACCTATTCCTCTGTATTCCATGTATGTTGTGTGTATTCTGTGTATGTTGCTACCTGATGCATTGTTTTTCATAATTTCTACCCTAAGATTTTTTTTTTTCCAAAGCAGGGTTTCTCTGTGTATCTTTGGGCCTCTCCTGGAACTAGCTCTTGTAGACCAGACTGACTTCAATCTCACAGAGATCTGCCTGCTTCTTCCTCCCGAGTGCTGGGATTAAAGGCATGTGTCACCAACACCCAGCTCCATCCTAAATTTTAAAAGACTCTTCAAAGCATGTCTTTTTTAATTATTGACACACTTTTTAATGTATACTAGAGCCTCAAAATGTCATTAAACTTTTTAATATAGTTGTACTATCTCCAAATAACCACTTGGGAGTATCTGAAAATATTATATATAAATATATAAATAACCTCACGATAATTTTTCTCATGCTTCCATTTGTTGATTACATTTAGGCTAACACTTTTTATGCTAGCATGGAAAAACAGAGTGTTTCCTTTCTCCCACATTCTTAAGTCCAGCGTCTTATTTATTTTTCATAAGTCTGTAAATTCACTATTTTTCATTGTTATTATTTCATTTTATGCTTCCTTATCAGAATAATTCTATTATGTAAAAAATATCAATGATAGGCATGATTCCTTCAGGAAATTTTACATTTATTTAGGAATAACGCTTAGAGAAGCAAGTGATAACACATTCATATATAAGAACATATTAATAAAATGAATTTTCAAAGGACATGACATTGACTTAAGTTACTCTTGCTGTTTAAATACATATGGTTATAAATTAGGTCTAAAATATTCATACTTACACATCTTTTTAACTAGAATTTTAAGCAGATTCATAAATGAAATGCACAGAGAACCATAAAGCCAAGGCAATTGAACAAGACATTTACCATGATAGATGACTCAGCTTTACTAAAACACAGACTGTGAAGCTTCCCACATATCCTGGGATATGGTTGTCTGTCATGGTCTGAGCTTCTCCTTCGACATTCACACTGAGACTTAATTGCAGTTTTTTTAAAAAATATTTATTTATTTATTTATTATGTATACAATATTGTTTCTTGTGTGTATGCCTGAAGGCCAGAAGAGGGCACCAGACCCCATTACAGATGGTTGTGAGCTACCATCTGGTTGCTGGGAATTGAACTCAGGATCTTTGGAAGAACAGGCAATGCTCTTAACCTCTGAGCCATCTCTCCAGCCCCTTAATTGCAGTTTTAAGAATCTTGAGAATGTATTGACTGAGATTTCTATCCCGCCCGGTTCCACAGTCGTTAAGTCCCAAAGAAATCACACAGAGGTCTACATGAATTATAAACTGGTTGGCCTAGTATCTCAGGCTTCTTATTAACTCTGATAACTTATATTAGCCCATAATTCTTGTCTGGTCTGTCTTAGCCATGTGGCTTGGTACTTTTTTTTTTTTTTTTTTTTTTTTTTTTTTTTTTGACAAGGTAGTCACATCTTGCTTTCTCTGTGTCTGGATGACGATCGCAAACTGAAACTTCCTTCTTCCCAGAATTCTTATCACCCACCTCTACTTCCTGCCTGGTTGCCCTGCCTATACTTCCTGCATGGATACTGGCCAATCAGCATTTTATTAAAAATAATCCAAGTGACAGGATAAAAGACCATTGGCCCACAGCAAGAATGGAAACTCTTACCAAGCTATGATGTGATAGAAGTGTCATTGCAATGAACAGCTTATGACAGTTGTGGAACAGGATTCCCTGTTAAAGGGGTGAGCTTGGTGATTGTCTCTCTCTCCTTTCCTTCAGTGCTTGCTTCCACCATGTTAGGAAGTAAGGCAAAGTTCCTTGCTAGACACACGTCCCGTGATCTTGTTCTTCTCAGTCTCTGTAACCAGGAGCCAAGTCAACTTTCATTCTACATATGGAGTCCAGTCTGTTATTCCTTTATAACAGCATGAGTCAAGGGATTCTGTGATCAGTTTGCCTTTGTGTTCAGCATCAATTTTATTTTTACAGATTCTGAGTGAGGCCTAAGGATATACGTGCTATGTAAGCCTACTGTTCTGACTCCCATTGCTACTCAGACTTAGTAGTCTCATCCATTATCCAGACTCTGCACTAGACCAGTCTCCAAGGCCCAGTTGCCATGGGACATTCCAGTGCATCTGGACCACTTCTTTGCTCCCTAGCCTGCAACGTTGTTACTGTGTTATTGACAAACGTGTCCAATGCGCATCTCACTCAATGGCCACAGAGGCCCTAACAAGAAAAATGCTTCATTGTCTTTTCAGCATGTCACCTACTAATAAGGAAACGGCACAGGCCGTTGCACATACAAACATAATCCACTTGGGACGTCCATCCCCTGGGTGACTGCCCCATTCTTCACACTCTTGCTTTAGCAATGATCTCAGAGACAGCTGCACAGTGGGGCATCAAAAGATGCAGTCACAGAGCTGAGATTGGACTCTGGAACTTGACTTCCAAAATCTGCTTTGTCACTTTGTTCACAAGGTGATTCTAAAAATATGAAAACGAAGCCATGGTTGAGGATTAGAGCGTCGAGGAAACGGGTTTATAGAATAATCTCACTTTGAAATAAGCTACTTTACTTTAGTTAGAGGCACAAATTTAGAGCCTAGTTCTTCATCTCTAACCATTAATTCAAATTTTGTATTGGTTCCCCTGAACATCTTAAGAGGAAGCTAGGTGTTGTATCAATGGGATAGACCGGCTCCAAGCACTTTTCAACCCAGAATGTTATGAGCATGGACAGAGGCGTTATGGGGAAGTAACAAACTGGGCTGCTAACTCTGTCCTCGGATACACTTTTCCTTACGTTCTCTGAGCCTCAGCTTGCAGAACTATAAGATGAGAGCGGTACCTACACTCTCCATCAGATGCTAGGCACATAGAGCTTGAAAGTCTTGGATGAAAGGAAACGATTAGGGGCCACATTCACTTATGCCAAGGCAAATCAAATTCAACTTAATGACTGCCAAAACCATTTCCAAAGCAGTTCAACTTTCATCAGAGTACCATTACAGTCAGCAATATTAATCACTTTATACTCATAATTTCCACTCAAAGTAGCCTGGTTGAGCCCCCAGATTCCAAATCATGGTTCCAGTGGCGTGGTTCTGTCCTCTATTGAAATCAGGCGTGTCTGGAGTGTGACAAGGCATCTGCCTCACAGCTGTCTGAGGCACAACAAATAGACGGGGGCCAGACCAGAAAAGCAACTTCTTCAGCTGACATTTCAAGGGAATGTTCGGGAGAAGTAGCACATGGCTTCCTAGCTTGGAGCCCCGCCAGGATCATTAGAGTTAATGACCATCCTGCGGTGGTGGAACATGCCTTGGGTTCCTTAACGATCATCCTGACTTCCCATCTGAAAGACGTCATCTCTGACAGCCGAGGGTCTGCTGCTTCGAGCCCAGCGCATGAGGAATCTACAGGGCAGTAAATCAAGGCTCTACTGCGGGCTCTTTCCAAGGACGGCTGGGATCTTTCTGGTATAGATGGCAAAGACCTTGATCTGCTGAGGTCCCCCCCCCCCAACTTAGTTTTACGCCAAAGCCACTTCCACACTATCAGTAAATTTGTGCTTAGGGGGTGCTTATTAAGTTTAATAGTGGCTTAAAAACAGCCTAATTAGAAAGGTAAATCTAATTAGGAGGTAATAAAGTCATATTTTCTATGTGTGGGTCTGTGTGTATGTCAGTCTAGCCTTATACTTGTCATTATGTACATTCTTTTAACTCAATCATAATCACCCAGTAGGTTTACTATGAATAGCTCGCAAGTTCATTCTATTCAGGCGATTGTAAAGATGGATATAAGATCTATCAAGGTGTTTATAAATGCCCCAAACTGGTTTTAAATTAAAATAATACACAATTTTCAAACATTTATGCTTAATGATTTTAATACACGAGCATTACTTCTCCTGACCTTAATAGTAACATAAATTTTTTTAAGAAAAAATAAAACATCCAGGAAAATTTATAATTGAGTGTGTTGATAACTTTCGGTAATTGCTAATCTGCTAACAAAGTCACAGAGCCGGGATTTTGATACGTTCCCTCATCTTTTACGTTCACAATGACAAGTTACTCTACTTTTATATTCAACAGTTTAATTTAATGTGTGTGCTGGATATGTAATTTACATCACACATGTGTTTGTAGTAATATTACAAAGCTGTTCTTTATTGCTCTAGTGTTTGGCTTTTGCTTCCTGGTGCTACCAAAATTGGAGTCTCTTTTATTCCCGAGGAATAAGGGAAATTTTTGTCCAGAACAAGTTTAGTCCATACATTAAATTAAATTAAATGTTTAATATAAAAACTAATTAGCAGGTTGTATCTTTAAGAAAAGTCCACTAAGCCAATTTAGTCTAAGGTCAGCACAATTTATCAAGAAGGGGCAGACCGGACTAAAACTATATAAAGAGCTTTGTTCTTCTTAGGAAAGAACGTTCATTTATGTCCCCTCTTATTCAATATCATCCTTCTGCAACATAAAGCCGATAGATATGCCTGGAAACCTTCGTTCAAGCTTTGGGAGCCGAAGTGAAGAAAAGTATAACGATATTAATGTGTTTCATTAATTGCCGGGGCTGTAACCTCATTTGCTCAATTGCCCTGGGGCTACGGTTATGGCTTGACGTGAAGAGAGAGTGCTAAATTGGGAAGCAAGAGTCTTTATGTCGAAAACAGAGCTTCGAGTCAGAGGTAGGAAGCCATGTTCCTGAGAAAGCCTAGGCTCACTCTGCTTTGCCCATTTAAAGCTGAGCTGGAGGCAGCACAAGGCAGGGAGGCAAGGCAACGGGAAACAGCTGTGAAGTCCTGGGAAAAAAAGAGGCCAAGTTCAAGTGGAATTTCTGATAACCACAGCAGCATTATCTTTCCCAGGGGTAATTGCCAAAACTGTGTTTGTTTATGGTTCCTTGAAGATAAAGAAGAAACTTTGGACCGAGGGAGGAAGACTGCAAGTCCCTGAGAAATGAAAGTGTTTAGGATTCTCTTGCAAATCTTGGAATGCATGTCAGACAAGCCTGCCTAGGGGGTATTTCCTGCCCTGCTCTGCAGTCCTGCTGGGCAATGTCCTCCCAAAGCATCCATATTAAATTGCACCACTCATCAGCAAGACTTCTTTCTGAATTTCAAGGCAGGGCTGGCACTTGCCAATGAAGCTTGCTGCGGGAGACACACTCACAATGGCACACTCTGATGCCTTCGAAATGAAGCTTGGGTCTCCAGTCCAGCCTGGTAGCTTGGGGCGAAACACTGATGGTACCTGGTTTATGAGCTTGTAGTTCATTCTCTTGTGAGTTGTAAAGTTTCCAGAACTTTCTGTTGTGTTATTTTATGGAGTTCCACAAAGAAAACCTAATGACAAACGCATGTTTGTGGCATGTGGGATTTTCCATCATCTGGCTATTGCTGCAATCCCTTTCTAGCCGTCCCCCCTTGCTTGTCTAATGAGTCTGCCAATCGAGCTTGGGACTCACGGTGTGGTGGCAGCAGTGGCGGGGGCGGTGCTGTGCGTGCTTTTACTGAACTGTGTGCTCTGAGGTGCACAGATGACAAAGGACTTTGACACTCAGTCACCTAGCACAGATTCTGCAGCATCTCCACGCATGCCCCCAGACTGAACACCTTCTTGTCAAATACATTCCCAGCTCTTGGAGGTTAAAATGGCCTCCCTCCTTTCCTCCTTTTGATAATGCCTTGCAATGCCTGATTCTCTTTCACAGAGGCTATGTGTGGGAAGATTTATTTTCATTCCTTTGGTTTTCAAAAAAAAAAAAAAAATGGCTGTGATCTTAACAATGTGATTGTAACAATGTGGAAATGAGCTTTGGGTGTGTGATTGAGCTTCACACAGAAGTGACTCAGCACCGTTAACAGGGTTTTTGTTAAAAGTATTCGATAAGAATAAGTAAGTTTATCAAAAGAAGGAAAGGAGGGAGGTCATTTTAATCTCCAAGAGCTCTGCGTACATTTGACAAGTAGGTGTTCAGTGTGTGGTTTTTAAACATAAAGCAAAGAAAGCCAGCCTAAAACCACAATCCCAGAGAAGTTGGACAGCAATGCGGACACTAAGAGAGACTTACATGGTTATAATCTACATGGGAAGTAGAAAGTAGAAAAGGACAAGATCTCCTGAGTAAATTAGGAGCATGGGGACCTTGGGGGAGGATTGAAGAGGGGAAGGGAAAGGCAGGGAGGGGAGCAGAGAAAAATGCAGAGCTCAGTAAATATCAATAAAAAAATTATACAGGAAAAAAAAATAATTAGCCACTTGCTTATGAAATACCGGACAAAATAGAAAAGGTTTTGTAGATTTTTGGCAGAGAGAATGTGGTCAGATATTGTAAAGTTTGGGGAAAGAGTGATTTGCTTTTACCTGTTTGTGGAAATATGCTAGGAGATTGTGATAGGTGGAGACTAAGGACAGAAAACTTGGGGTATAAAAAGTAGGACAGGTGATCATATAGACGGGTCAGAAAAATACGTGTAGCTAAGGGCAACAGGCTTCTAAGAAGATGGACTACCAAAAATAAGGCTCAAAAAAGAGAGAATTGTTGAGCCCTGGTTCATCCCAAGTGTATTTGGATGCTGCAATGGAGGACAAAAGCTACTGAATTTGAACAAGGAAGAATCCATAGATAGACGGATAAAGAGGAAATGTTGGCTTTTCTGGTTCTCTCTGTCCCTGGCTTATTTCACTTGACAGAATGCCCTCCAATCCACCCCTGTAATCCCAAGTTTCAGAGTATCCCATTGTACCATCAAAACCTGTTTTCTTTATTTACTACTCTGCTGATGAACACCCAGGTCAAGTCCACATCTCGTGGGTAGTGCTGCAACCACGTGGAAGTAAGCATGTCTCTCTGGCATACCGATTTAGTTGTAAAATGACAATATTAGCTCACCGTATGATAGCATCAGAATCACAGAATTCCCGTCTATCATGTACTATCTGCAAAACTCCTGCACCGTTGGGAGATAAGATTTGAACACGGTGTCAATCTCACAAATCCCAGAATGGCATCAGGGGCTCATATAATCCTGGACCAGAGTTCGAGAATCACATCCAGAAGATAAGAGCTGTAACAGAAAAAAAGGAACTTGCAATGCAGCCCAAACTGAGACCATTTTTATTGTTTCGGTAATGAGATGGAGCGACTCTGTTCAAACAGCCTGCTATGAGCTGAGTGCCTGCAATCTTTTCATTAACAGTCTTCAGTCCTTTCCATACACACGAACTCTTCAACATGGACCAGGTTTGAAAGGAACAGTGACCTCATTCAGAAACAGGACTTGACTGCTGAAGTCCCTGTGCATGATCACAAGAACCCAGGAATCAGGGAGAGTCCAAAGTAGGCAGAACCCTTTATGGGTACAGAAAGCATCGTGGGTAGATTCTGGGGATGGAATCATCTGGAATCTACCTTTCCCTTAGATGGCATTTGTTAATATTTTCCTTACGAAGTACATCACTCTCTCTGGAGAGTTTTACTCGCTGGCAGTGGTGTCGAAGGAGCCTGTCTTTACTCAGAACCCCAAAGATCTCAGTTATGACACCATATCCTTGTTTACTTTCCAAGAAACTAATTTTTTTCCCTAATTTTCTTATTGCATAACCTTTCATTAGGAAAATTGACCACTCCTGAGAGATGAAGTATAGGCAACAAGTTTCTGTTGTAAATTATGCGATAAATAGAGAAGGTAAGAAACAATAAAAAGAGAAGCTGCTTGAAGCCTCTCTAAATATCAAAAGGCCTAGTAGTAAAGGCTGTATGTGTTTGTTGGGGGCTTTCCAGGCTCTCACAGTGCTGACAATATTGTAAGAATTAATTATAATCTCACAAAGCAAGCAATAGCTTTAAATGCAGCTTTAGTCATCAGCCAGAATATGATGGTACACACACGATCAGTGGGTTTCCAGCTGCTTAGAGGGGATGGCCAGATGTGCTTCCCTGTTTTAAAAAACAACAACGGATACTTCACTTTTGTGTTTAGTATGAACATTTCTATATATTTTATGTATTACTAATGTGCACTTCTCTCTTTCTTTCTCCAAGTGTGTGTGTGTGTGTGTGTGTGTGTGTGTGTGTGTGTGTGTGTCTGCGCATGTGTGAGCATGTCTCTGTGTATGCAGGGGTGCAAGTAGGGTGGGGGGGTTAGAGGACAACTTTCAGAAGTCACTTCTCTTCTTCCTACAATGAGGTACAGGATTGAACTCGTGTTCGAGGGCCAAGGCACTTTTACCCACTCAGCCATCTGCTTGGCACAAACTTTTCTATGTCTAGATTTATGTAAAATTATTCAGATCGTTTTCTTTACTTTGTTATCTTTTGTTGATTCTTCTAGATTTCCCCATAAACTCTAGGCCCCCTTTAAGTAAAATGACTTTGCAAAGTTTTGCAGATTTTCTTTTTTGACTAAATGTGGACAGTATTTTCTCAATTTTCAGCTTTGGCTCATCTTCATCTCCAGTGCAGGCAGACGCAGTAAGATCCTCCTGCAGACTGCTCTTAAAGTCTTTGCGTATCTATTGATATAGATAATGTCCAAGGCTAAAGGAGTCCTCCAAAGTCTTGTTTATGAATAAAACACTCGAAACTAGAGAAGAAATGCACATCTGTCTCCTCTTACAATACCCTTTCAACAACTCTGCTTAACATTAATGAGCCACTTCTGGGTTCCAGACAATCACTCTACACCACCAGGACCTAAAATTGAATATATACAGTGATGATAGTCTAACAGATTTCTGTTTTTCATCTTAATATGATAAAAAAAAACCACTCTACTAATTTCATCATACATTAAGATCCAGCCTCAAAAAATAATGACAAAGAATTTTGAAGTTTGTTACATGGTCATTCTCACTTTTTTCATATGTATAGAGAAAGACACCGGTGAAGCTACATGAGAAATAGCCTAATTTGCTATAAAACTTATTGCTTGCAAACAGAAGGGGATTTTCCGAGGACCAGATATGGCCCTTGGAAATATTTTCAGGAACATTACTGGGAGTTAAGATCAATGATAAGTCTAATACTTCTCTATGCAGAATTTTCTTTACCATTCCACGAAATACTTTTCCATTCATTACTGTAATCAATGAAGTCTCTGCCATGCCCTTTGTGATGTGGACTTTCAGTGGCATATGGATTAAGGTCTCACCCTCTTTGACTCCAGTCAAAAAAAAGTCTCAAGTATCAAGACCAGAAGGTCATCTGACCATTTGAGAGAGTAAACTCAATTATTTTAGTTTTACTAAATTTTATTTGTGTTTGTGGGTCTGTTAATGCAAACATGTGTGGTTTTTAGCATCTCTTACTAATAGGATTTTACCTTGATTCTCTTGAATTCTCTCCAGGTTCCATCCAGTGTTTCACTCCTGTCAAGAACTGAGGAAGTCCTGAGTGAATGCGTACTGTTGACATAGGCGAAGCCATGGCAAGGATCAGTACCTCAGATCAACGGAGACTGGCCAAGACACGGGGTAAAGTCAGAATGACAAAGTTTTCCTTCGGTTCAAGTATAAGTACTTATAAGCTTTTGGCCACTGTGTGCAAGATCTAGCAGCTGTAGCTTCCTCTCCATGGATATTTATAGTCTGAGACTGCTCCCCTACAGAGACCTCTAGGAAGACAGACCAGTTTCTTCCCCCATGTGCTATGTACCAGAGTTCAGGTCCAGGGGTACTATGGAAGTACAATGAAGATGCCACTTCATTGAAGTGAGTGCATCCCACTTGATCCCAGCTTTATTGTGCATGCATTTGTCATTTCTTTAGTGTCTGTCCTTTCTTCAATTTCTCATTTGTTTCATGTCCCTGCCTATCAGGGCCCAAGCCACACAAGGACTTGGCCCACCCCCACACCCTTCTTTATCTCTTTTATTTGGTTTCATGTTTTTGAATATCTGTACTGAAGACTGGTTTTACTACTTGTACCTCAGTCATGACTTCCTCTCTCACCGAAAACGATAGGTAAGAGGAAATGTGTTCTGAGAGAAGTTTAGATTCAAACTTCTATAGCAGCGGGAGCCTCTTCCCTGACTCTAGAGTTAGTATTTAGTCCTTCTAAAGTCAGATAAAAAGAAGTAATTGTAAAACCACAATTGTGGATGTAATACACATCTTATCACAAACCACGAAAATTGTCCAGAGAAAGAAGATTACAAACTGACTAATCCCATTGCTAGATGGTAATACAGATGTGTTGAAGACACTAAGAGACCATGGATACAAGTCCAGACTACTATACCCAGCAAAGCTTTCAATCACCATCTGTGGAAAAAACAAGATATTCCCTGACAAAACCTGTTGAAATAGGAGCGGCGGCAGGGCTGCGTCCCCGGCACCCGGCCGCCCGCATGGCTAGTTTATGCCCAGAAATAATTACACGGAAACTGTATTCTTTCAAACACTGCCTGGCCCGGCTAGGTCCAGTTTCTTATTGGCTAGCTCTTACATATTGTTCTAACCCATTTTTAATATTCTGTGTAGCCCATGAGTTGGCTTACCAGAGAGGATCTTAACCTGCATCTGTCTGGAGCGGGAGAATCATGGCGACTCTCTCTCAGTTTCTTTTTCCCAGAATTCTCTTCTGTCTACTCCGCCTACCTAATTTTCTGTCCTATGAGGGCCGAGGCAGTTTCTTTATTAGTAAGAAATCACTCCCACATCATAAACCAGATTTAAACAATAACTATCCACAAACCCAGTCCTTCAATAAGCACTAGAAGGAATGCTCCAACCCAAGGAAGCTAACTGCACCCACAAAAACAAAGGCAACAAATAGCCTCACACCAGCAAATTCCAAAGAAGGGAAACACACAAACACTACCACCAAAAAAAAAAAAATAGCAAGAATTAACAATCACTGGTCATTAATGTCGGTTAATATCAATGGACTCAATTCACCTATAAAAGGACACAGGCTAAGAGAATGGCTATAAAAGCAAGATCCATCCTTCTGCTGCATACAGGGAATATATCTCAACCTTAAAGACAGACATTTCCTCAAAGCAAGTAGGGAAAAGATTTTTCCAATCAAATAGACCTAAAAAACTAGTGGGTGTAGAATTTCAAATATCTAACAAAATAGATTTCAAACTAAAATCAATCAAAAGAGATGGAGAAGGGCACTTTATACTCATCACAGGAACAATCCATCAAGATAAAGTATCAATCCTGAACATCAATGCTCCAAATACAAGAGGACCCACATATATAAAAGAAACATTACTAAAGCTTAAATCACACATCAAACCTCACACACTAACAGCAGGAAACTTCAAGACCCCACTTTCCCCAATGGACAGATCAACTAGACAGACACTTAACAGAGGAATAAGAGAATTTACAGATCTGTGACTCAAATGGACTTGACAGACATCTACAGAGCATTTCACCCAAATGCAAAAGAATACACCTTCTTCTCAGCACCCCATGGAACCTTCTCTAAAATTGACCACATACTCAGTAACAGAGCAAACATCAACAAATACAAAAAGATTGGAGTATCCCCCTGTATCTTATAGAATCACTATGGTTTAAAGTTAGAATTTAACAACAACACTAATTGCAGATAGCCTACAAACTTAAGGAAATTGAACAGTGCTCAATTGATCCACCCCTGGGTCAAGAAAGAAATAAAAAGAAAATAAAAAACTTCCTAAAATTCAACAAAAATGAAGGCACAATGAACCCAAACCAATGGGATACTATGAAAGCAATACTAAGAGGAAAGTTCATAGCACTAAGTGCCCTCGTAAAGAAAGAGGAGAAATATCACACTAGCAACTTATTAGCACACCTGAAACCTCTAGAACAACAGCAACAACAACAACAACAACAACAACAAAAACCCCATATTCACCCAAGAGGAGTAGATAACAGGAAATAATCAAATCAAGGGCTTAAATCAATAAAATAGAAACAAAGAAAACAATACAAAGACAATGAAACAAAGCGCTTGTTCTTTGAGAAAATCAACAAGATAGACAAACCCTTACCCAAATTAATCAAAAGGCAGAGAGAGAACATCCAAATTAACAAAACCAGAAATGAAAAGGGGGACATAACAAGAGACACCGAGAAAATTGAAAGAATCACTAGCTCTTACTTCAAAAACCTGTACTCCACAAAATTGGAAAATGTAAAATTTAGTCACCATAGAGCCTTCATCCAGCACCTGATGGAAACAGGTCAGACATCTACAGTGGAACCCTGAGGTGAGCTTCTAAAGTCTGGTTGAAGAGTGAGAGGAGTGAGAATATGAGCAAAGAGGTCAAGACCATGATGGGGACACCCGCTGAAACAGCTTACTTGAGCTAATGGGAGCTCACCAACTCTTGATGGACAGGGAAGAAACCAGCATAGGATGAAGCTAGGTCCTCTGAATGTATATGACAGTTGTGTGGCTGGGGCAGACAGCGGGGTAGGGGCAGTGGCTCCAGGATTTGTCCCTGATGCTTGTACTGGCATTTTGGAACCCGTTCTATTTGGAGGGATACCTGCTCAGCCTGGATATAGTGGGGATGGCCTTGGTTCTTCCTTGGAGCAATGTGCCTTGCCCTCTCTGGGGACTGGATGGGCGGGGGGGTAGAGGGAAAGGTGGAGGAAATGGAAGGAGCAGAAGGAGTGGGAACTGGGATTGTTATGTAAAACGGGAAAAGATAGTTTGTTTTCTTTTAAAAAAAAATAGTAACATTATTCTTTGAATTGGAAGCAGTTTATCCTTCTTGTCATTGATGAGCCTACAAATCAAATGTTGATTACTAATGTTAAGTCAGCTGGAATTCCAACCACCATCTTGGCTCAATAGCCCTTGCTGGGAGCCATAGCTGAATACAGTACACTACATCCGAAGATATATTCTCAAGGCTCTGGCCTTGGTTTATATACTTTACTCAGATGGTGATGGGAATGGTGGAGTTTGGAGACAGGAAGTCTGAAAGAAGCCACTCCGGTGGCCTCTTGAACCACTGCCAAGGCCATTCCCCCTCTGCTTGTCACAGACAGTGAATTCTACATTCCTCTCCACTCTCTCTGTGGTCTCCATTAGAGAGTCCAACAGTTCCTAGATAAAGTTAAAGACTCATGTAGTGATCTTCACACTAATTGGACTGTAATGTATAGCCTCGGTCAAGCGCGTCTTTCCCAGCCATTCTCTGCGCAGACAGCAATCAAGCCATTTCCAGAAGATGCATTGGCTGTTGGGACCCTAGAGTAACCTTATGCTGCACTGGCCTTTTAGCAAAGAACACAATTAATTTTGATACTGAAGGGCAATTAAGTGTGGTTAAAATGAGGATCTCTTGGAACACAGAATGACAGAGGAGGCTGTGGAGGAAATATTTTTGCCTCGAATGTTTCAGAAGCCAACAAGCACTCCCCGCTCTTGTTATTCCAAGTCCAGTTGCCAAAATCCCATTCCATTGCAGTCCATGAGAACTGAAATGAACGGCTGTGTTAGCCGTGTTGCTATTCTGAAAGATTGCTTACATCAACTATTTAACCAGCTGCAATTCTGAAAACACACATTGTGTCTGGATACCTGTGTTACTCATACATTTGGAGAAACACCTACACAGACTTTTTTAAACACATGTGCCCCACTGAGGATAAGACACCATGTGGTACAGCTTGCTCAAGCTAATTTCAGCTCAGAGGAATACTTCCCAGGGCGGGGGTAGGGGGAGTGTTTCTACTTAAACATAGGACATTTGAAGAGGAAGAACATGGTGTTCCACACCATTGAGAGGAGAAAGGATGACGTGATGCCATGGCCAGTCAGAGGATAAAAGGGGAGAAGTGAAGAGAGCCGGACTGTAGTTGTAGCGGACGCCTGTTCAAGTATCCCTGGGGCCATTTCTAAATATGTTTCTAACTGTTAATTGGCCTGGGGCTTTCTAAATTTACTGATCATATGCATTTTTTTTCATTTTACCATGCATTCTCCTCATTCATTATTCACACACATACACACACATGTGTATGTGTATATATGTATTACTAGTGAGCTTTCTTGTACATAATTTAGATACTTTTATTAAATGAATGCTAATGTTTCCTGTGCCAAAACTATAACACTCAATTGTCCATCCACTTATGAATGGATAAAGCCATGATGTGTATAGAGAACATAGAATATTATTCAACCACACTAAGAAATTGGGTTATGATGCATGTTCCAACGTGGGATAAATTTTGCAACTACGAGGTTAAGTTGAAGAAAAGAAACTCCACATCTGGGTGTGGTGGGTGGCATGCACATGCCCGTGTAATCTGATGGCTTAGGTGCTGAGTCAGGAGGCTAGTGAATTTAAGGCCAGCCAAGGCTACTTAGCAAGGACCTCATGAAACAAAGCAATGGAGGAGGAGGAAGAGAAGGAGGAGGATACAAAGGAGAAGGTGGAAGAAGGAAAAGGAGAAGAAAAGCAATGGAAAGGGAGGAGTAAAATAAACGGCCAGACCCTAGAGTTCAAATCCTGAGTCCATAAACAGGAAATGCACCAAAGAGACAAAACCACAAAGACCAAAATTATGTTCATGCTTCCAGAGCTGAGGTCAGGAACCTAACATCTGTGGGGATTATAGGAAATAATAGACAGTGGTGAGTTTGCAGTAAGTTTATGAAGATGATAAACCTTACGGATATACTAGAAATACAATAACAAAAAATTGCACATGAACTCATTAAACCGGTAGAGACTTACCTGAGTAAACACATTAGTGTAAAAGAAACGCAGCCATCTCTCACATTGGGTTAAGATGCTTGTTTATGTTGCTATTGTTGATCAAATTAACAGACAGATCACTAAAAGTTCCAGTCACTTACTGTTTGAAATTTATATCTACAGGGAGACACCTTATCTTTCCAAATATACATATGGAAGACACATCAGAAGAAGTCCTGCTATTGTTATGTCCTTCGGAAAGGAAAATTCCACACTGGAGGTAAAGGTGGTCTCCAAGATTCATGGAAAATTCCACAGTGATAAGGCTCTAAGGATAAGAAAGCATCTTGACTGTGAAAATAGAATGAGAACCACCTACACGTGACACCCTAGGTCGGGTTGGGTCTGTGATTAAAAACTTCCAGGAGAAGACAGTCTGGGCTTCAAAGGCCCATTCCTCATGCTCCAGGAGGGCAGCTGCAGGGCTGTTTCTCGTCAGAAGGCTGATGAGATTCATCGCAGTGCCGCGCTCACAGACCGTGCTCCCATCAGCCTGATTACCATCTCAGCCCCACTGGTTTTGATCTTGAGCTTGCTGTCACCGAAACCATTAACACAGATTCATGGACGCCTATCTCTAAGTGGGCCTTGTTCGTGGTCAGGAAAGATTCTTATATGAATCCTCCACTCCGACGAGCTTACAAGATAAAAACAAATGCATCTTTATCAAGATAATAGGAAGTCGAACTGGCTGGAAACATCCTTGCTGTTGAGATCCTTGGCATTTAGAGGAAGAAATGTATTCACTGCTCGTGTTAAAGCTCTGACATTGCAAGATGCAGGTGGTGTGGGAGGACATGAATAATCCTGGTAGATTCTGGATGGGTGCTTTCAGGTGACTTACATACGGCAATTCTTGTCATCTCCCAAACAGCCTCTCCTTCTTCCACCTGTTGCCTGTGATGTCCCAGAAATGTAAAAACAGGGAAAGAACTGTCCTTAACGGCTTTGCTGGTCGTGGTGATGGGGTATCCTTTTCAAGATCCAACTTGTAGATTTCTGACCTCCAAAATCATGAGAAATTAAGTACTTATTTCAGCCATCACTTTGTGGCAATTCTGGTGCCAGTCACATGAAAATTATGCACTTGCTTCAGCGCCTAATGAGAAGCATCTTTGATGTGTACTCTTCCTACCGGGCGCTGTCATCACTAACAGGCACTTTCAAAAGACCAGAATGGGCATCCCACCTCAGTTGTTAGGGTATCACATCTGCATCCCTCCTGGATCTGTTTCTCCTCCACACATCTATAAGGTTCACTAATTACTGCCCAGAGTTCTAGATGTGAAACGAGAAAGCCCAGATGTTCCTGAAATAATACTGGCTAAGGTAGTATTATGTGAAAAAACACGGACTGAAAGATTCTGAATCCATTAATTAATTCTCTTATGCCTGTATTTGTTCATCTGAAAAACGGGAGTGGGGCTAGGGATGTAGTTGGTGTTCACTCCATGAACTTTGTGTGATTTTCCTTTGCTTGGCAATCCTTGGTTCTCAATAACATCATATCATTGAATGAAAAGAAACTATAAAACTATATTCTTGTTTGCTAGCAACATGAGCATATCTTAAGAAACGACAGGAGCAATAAGATAGTAAATGTTTAGACCTAGAACACAAGCAGGGTTGTTTACCGAGCACTGCCGCATAGAACTGGGGTCAGGGGGCAAGACTTTTCGGCTCCATTCTAGCTCTCCAGATGATCGGCCTATGGCCTGTCCATTGCTCGTGGAAAGAGAGTTTGAATATCTTTAGAACTCACATGGGTCTCTCTCTGCCAGTACACTATGCTCAGCCTAGAAAACACCTGTAAACAGTTAAGAACAAAAGTAAAAGATGCAAACGCGGAAGGCCTCCTACAGAGGTAGGGAGCAACAAGATGCAAAGGGAAATAAAAGAACATTGGGTGAGGTCATGGAAGTCATGGTGTTCATGTGCAAAGTGTCGAAGAACAAATATAATGAGTAGACACACGTTTAAATAATGAACAATACCGGCAAAATATCAACTGTAGAATAATATCCCAATGCAAAAATAAAAAAAAAAATGAGTGATGTTCGGACAATCTCACTACACTTTTCACTGCCCTATAATAATTTCCTTGTTTCGATCCTAGACACCACATTTTAGATTTCAAACACTAATCGGACCACGTTTCTTTTACCCTACCTGAGAATTCTTTACAGTGAAAGGCTGGTTTGCTTGACATGAATTCTTTAAGCTTTCACTGGAAAGAATTCTCAGGTAGGGTATGAAATCGACATTCTTTTTTCAGGACTTATGTTTACAGAAAAATTAAACTTTCCATCTAACTCATGCCTAGTGTTCCTTATGATTATTGTTATGTAGTTACAAGTTTTGAACAAATGCTTGCACGTCATATTTAATAAAGTCTACATTTTGTTTCAATTTTTTTGAACCTGTGTATCATTATATTACATTCTTTATCTCTCTCTCTTGCATGTTTGTTCTCTCTCTCTCTCTCTCTCTCTCTCTCTCTCTCTCTGTGTCCTTCTCTCTGTCTCTCTCTCTCTGTCTCTCTCTCTCTGTCTCTCTCTCTCTGTCTCTCTCTCTCTGTCTCTGTCTCTCTCTTTCTCTATCTCTCTGTCTCTCTGTCTCTGTCTCTGTCTCTGTCTCTGTCTCTGTCTCTCTCTCTCTCTCTCTCTCTCTCTCTCTCTCTTTCGCATTCTCTCACAAGCTCTCTTTGGCCCTTCCCTCTCATTTTGTTCTGGAGATCCACCTGAAGCCTTCGAAATTCTAAACAGAGTTTCCACAGCTAATCTAGATCACCAATCCCAAGCCTTTGCTTGTTTTTAACTTTAAATTTTGAGGTATGACTTCAGAACTCACTAAGCTGCCAAAGCTGGCCTTGACTTTGAAGTTTCATTATAATAAGCTATATCTGTTTATTTCCACATTGTCTATTACTGGTTTCCATGAAAGCTACAGTAGTTATATAACCTTCCAAGCTTAAAATATTTACTCTTTCACACTTTCCAGAAACAGCTGATTCTTGTTCTCAGCATTAAACTCAACAACATTGTTCAAGGGTTTGTAAAGACAAAATAAATTTAACTCAAAATGGAAAAGTAATATATTTCTCTAACTGTTACTGGGCATAACTGTAAATACAGGTAAGAATTGATCATTCTGAATGAAGGTAAATACAAGCATATTATTAAAAATATTTGTACACCAAATATTTATTGATAAGCCAGAAAGATCATATTATTAGCAAGTATGTATTTTAATGAGATAGCTCTCATATCAGATGCTATTTCCACTTGCCTGTGCTCTCCTGTGCACTGGAAATATGACACAGGAAATATTACAAAGGAGAGGCACTAAAAGCATAAAATACACAAGATATCTTACTATGTATGTATTGATTCTAAATTCATTTTTGTAACACCAGAATTTAATAAAATGGTTTTTTGTTTTTTTTTTTTTTTTTGGTTGGTTGGTTTTTTTTTTTAATTCTTTTTTCTTTGGGCATGTGGTGGTGCAAGGGTGAAGTGTAGATGTGGAGGGACCAGGAAATGAGTGGAATTGGGATGCACAATATGAGATTTCCAAAGAATCAATAAAGAAATTATGTTAATAAAAATAAAAAGAAGAAAATCATAAGAACATACTTTAAAAAAATACTATTCCACTAAATTGGAAAAATCACTAAAAAAGGTTAAATTTATAGATACATATGACATTCCAAAGCTAAAACAAGAAGAAAAACAATGATTTAAACATCAAAAGAATGACAAGATTGAAGAAGTAAGAAAAAGTGTCCTAAGTATTAAAAGTCTATAATCAGATGGATTAATCACAGAATTTTAGTAAAACTTCGAAGATGAATTAACACCAACACAACTTATTCTCTGAGCTAGAAAAGAATGTGGTATTTCAAAGCCTTTAAGCTAAGCAGTATTATATTGATATCAGAACCAGTTAAAGGTACATTTTTACAAAAATAAAAGAAAATTACAGACTTACATCCCTAATGAACAAGATACAGAATTTCTCAATAAAATTCTGTCAAACTAAATTCAAGATCACATGAGAAAGATCATTAATATTGATCAAATTGGTTCCATTACAGAGATGCAGGGAAGGTTCAACATATATAAATCAATAAATGGAATCCATCATGTAAATTGACTCAGAAAGAAATCAGATGATTATTTCAATATATGTAGAAAGGGCCTTTAATAAAAACTCAACATCCCTTTAAGATAAAAGTCATGGAGAGACTAGGAATAAATTAGGCCAATAACCAATATTATACACTAAATGAAAAAATGCAAAGAATTTCCACCAAAAAAAATGGAAAGAGAAAACGATGCCCACTAGTCCACTCCTATTCAATATAATGCTTGAAATCTGAAAAGAAACAAAATTTTTAAAATGTGAACAGGAAAAGAAGTCAAAGTATTGACTTTGGCAGATCATGTGATTCTGTACAAGAGCCCCTAAAGGGTCTTGAAAACATGCTTAGAGCTGACAAAAACTTTCAGCAAAGCTCTAGGCAATGAAAGTAACACATACAAAAATCAGTAGCCTTCATATATATCAAGGACAACACACTGAACAAGGTATAAGGAAATGATTCCATTAGTAATAGGCACAAAAATAAAGTACTTATGAAAAAACTTACTCAAAGAAACAGAAGACCTTTCATGTTTATCGACTGAAAGAACTAATACTGTGACAATGAATCTTCTATCAAACGTAAAAGAATAAAACTTCCAGAATCATTCTTCACAGAGACAGAAAAAAAATCTTACAATTTTTATAATGACAACAACACGCATTCACATAAAAGGATATTCAAAACAATTTAAAAAAGAATTCTGCGTGTGCATCTCCCTATCTTATTTCAAACTATACTATATATCTATAACAAAAACAAAATAAAACACCAACAAAACAAAACACCAGACACATTGGACCCAAATATTTGTCCACACATATACAAGTTACCTGGTTCTTGACAAAGATGCCAATAACATACACTGGAGAAAAAGACAGCATCTTCAGCATACGGTGCTGGTAAAACTAAATTTCAGCATGAAGAAAAAGGATAGCAGACCTTCATATCTTATACTATACAAAGTTGCTTTGAAATTGATCACGGACCTCACTATAAGACTCGACTGTCTTCAACTGTTAAAGGATAAGGTGCAGAGGATCCTTCAGTTCATATGTTAAGAACTGACTTATTTAAAATAGGGCTTATGTAGCCCAAAAAATAAGGCCAATCATTGACAAATGGTACCTCATTAAAATTAAAAGTTTCTTGACAACTAAAATCTTTGCGAGCTATGTGCCAGACAAAAGATTAGCATCTAGAATATACAAAGAACTCATAAAACTAAATGCCAGAAAATGAACAAGGTAATTAAAAATGGACTACGTGTAAAGTTATTTAAACAAAAAATACAAATGGCTAGTAAACAGTTCAAAAGCTATGTAATATCTTAGACTACCAAAGAATATAGATTTAAACTATTAAAATTCCATCATATTCCAATCATCAAGAATACAAATAACAACAAATACTGGCATGGACCTCAGAAAATGAAAACTCTTATACAATGTTAGCTGGAGGGCAAAGTAGTGTAGCCACTGGGAAGCCAGTTTGGAGCTTTCTCAAAAAACTGGAAACAGAAATCTGCTCCTGAGCATGTATGCAAAGCATTCTCTACACTACCACAGAGATACTTGCACATCCATGTTCACTGTAACCCAACTATCAATAGTTGGGAATCAGTCCAGATGGATGAATAAGAAAGATGTCATACATATACACAATGATCTATTACTCAGCTATTAAAAAATGAAATTTGCATATAAATGAATGGAACCAGAAAAAGTACTGAGAGAGGTCACCAGGCTAATAAAGTCAAAGACTACATGCTCTCATATGTAGATCCTGGCAACAATTCTTTCTTTTCTTCCTTCCTTTCTTTCTTTCTTTCTTTCTTTCTTTCTTTCTTTCTTTCTTTCTTCCTTCCTTCCTTCCTTTCTTTTTTTTCCTTTCTTTTTTTCTTTCTTTCTTCCTTCCTCTCTTTCTTCACCTGGAGGACATGTAGAAATCAAGATATTTAAGAAACCAGTTACTGGGATGGATGCTTAAGGAAGGCAAGCTAGGGGGCTTAGCAAAATACAGATAAATGACGATAGAGAAGGGAAATGAATAGTGAGGGTAGATGTGATCAAGCAGGGGAGGAATGGAATTGGGGAATCGGGTCTCAGGGAAAGAATTAAGAGATAGATATGCAGCTGGAAATCTTTCCTATCATACCCTATCTTCAACAGAACACAAAGTTCTTCTCCCACAACCTTCTTTCCCCCAACTCATCCCTTCACCTCAGCCCCCAACACCATCAGGCAAAGCCTGAAAACATACCAGCTAAGCAGAACAGGAAAACGGGTGCGCTAACTGAAGAGTCTCCTCCCCCTCCAAATCCAATTCCCCAGCCTCCTCCCCGGCACTGCAACTGAAAACTAGCTGCAGCCTTCCTTCCCCGCTGCTCATAGCTCCTGTGGATCCAACAGTCCACCCCTGTCTAACTTCCGTGTCCTCACTCAGTCGTTTTACCCCAGCCTCCAACTCAGGCAGGCAACCCTTGCTAACTCACAGACCACACCTACCAGAAAACTAGGCAGGATGCCAGCAGAACTTCTCTCTCTTTCTTTCCCCTCCACCCTCGCCCCGCCCGGCCCCGCACCAGCTCTGTAGCAGAGCATCCATGACAGGCTTCCCTGACCACTGTTCCAATGTTCAGTGGATCCCACAGATCTATCTCTTCTAACCTTTTCCCCCTCACCCGTTGCTTTAACCAAGACCTTAACCCCAGCAGCCTGACAAACCAGGGGCAGCCCCTCCCAAGGCAACAAAAAGGCTGAAGACTGACTAGCATTTCTTCAAAGATCCAATGCCCACAGTCATATCCCCAGCTCTGTAGCAAAAAACCTGTTCTAATCCCCATTTCCTCTTTGAACCCACCACCACCAGATCATAAAAGACCTTCTTACAGAACTTCCTTCCCTCAACTATTCCCAGGATCTCAACCTCCTACAGCAGCAGGCCTTCCCCATGGACACACCCTCTCAGCAGGCTAGGAAAACAGACAAACCCATGCAGCCATCCCGCTTTCCAAAAAATCAATAGAGGAAGCAAAAACCAAGGAATAAAGCATCCAGCCAACAAAGACGAACCCAGAAATCAGCACCTAGACCTATAATCATCCCAAACCCAGATTCCTAGAAGCCAATGTAAGAACAATATCAATAACAGCCAGGAAAAATATGTCTCCACTAAAGCCCAGTTATTCTGTTGCAACAGGTCCTGAATATTCCAAATGCAAAGTTGAAGCATAAGAAAAAGATCTTAAAATCAGTTTAATGAAGATGATAGACATTCTTAGGGAAGAAATGAATAAATCCCTTAACGAAACCCAGGAAAGCATAGACAAACAATTGGAGGAAATGAATAAATCCCTTCAAGAAAGTGAAGAGAATTCAACAAACAGTTGAAGGAAAGATATTCAACTGTTTAAGACCTAAAAAATGGAAATAGAAGCAATAAAGAAATCACAAATGGAGGGGATTCTGGAAATAAAAAAAATTAGGAATTCCAAAAAGAACTACAGTAACAAGCTTCACCAACTCAAAATAAAAGATAGAAAAGAGAATCTCAGACATTGAAGATATATTAGGAAAAAAAATGACATTGGTCAAAGGAAACATTTTTTAAAAAAAAAGTCCTGACACAAAACATCCAAGAAATCTGGGACAGTATAAAAAGACAAAACCTTAGAATAATAGGGCAGACAGAGAAGAGTCACTAATGAAAGGCCCAGGAAACATTTTCATCACAATAATAGAGGAAAATTTTCATAACCTAAACAAGGAAATGCCTAGATAGGTACAAGAAATGTATAGAACACCAAATACATTGGACTAAAAAAGGAAGTCCCCTTGACACACTAAACACAAAGAACAAAGAATGGATATTAAAAGCTGCAAGGAAAAATGGTCCATGTAACTTATAAAGGCAGATCTGTTAGAATTATACCTGATTATTCAATGGAGACTCTAAAACCAAGAAAGGTCTGGACAGAGGTGGTGCAGACTCTAAGAAACCAGAGATGCCAGGACAAATTATTAAACCCAGCAAAAGTTCCCATCACCATAGATGGAGAATATAAAATAGCGTATTATTAAACAATATCTACAAATCCAGCCCTCCAGAAGGTTCTAGAAGGAAAACTTCAACCTAAAGAAGTTAAATACACCCATGAAAATACAGAAAATAAGTAAACTAATACCAACAAAATGAAAAAAAGGAAGCACACACACACACACACACATCTCTTTGAAAGGAAGTGTCCAAAATGAGTGGACAATGCTTCTCCCAGGAGACTTGAGATATTAAATGAAAATCTCAGTGTCAGACACAGGTTATCTCACTAAGAGTTATTAGCCGGGGAAGCCCCAGAGGTATTCAGAAGAACAAAGATAATTGCCATTGCTCTGGGTTTCCCACCCTACCTAGTGCTAAAGGAATTACTCACTTTGGATGTAGATCGTAGAGAAATGAACTTCAAACTGACAAGGAAACTCTTCATGCTGGCTGACTTATATAGTGCCAAAAGCTGCTATACAGGCTACTGGGGAAGAAAAGACCAATGGCCTCACCAGCCTGGGACCGCAATGTGATGATGCCGACCTCCTGGCAAGTAATATGTATGTTGCAATAGTGACATGAAGGTTGTAAGGATATCTGAACACCTTTTGATTGAATATGGGATCTGCCCCCACAGGACGGGTTTTATACTCTTTAATGAACACCTCATCAAAAGCCCATGACAGAAGAACTCATAGGAACTGACTGTAGTGTCAAACTGTATTCTAAATACGTGTGTTTATACTTAAAGATTTATGCCGCTTTCTACTTTGGTAGGAGAAGCTTCCTTTTGCAGTGGGTAGTAGTTAATGTATCAGCCTCACATATTAGCAAAGACTTAGGCAACTTCCTAAGAGATGGGAGAAAGAATGTTAAGAGTGTGCAAATGGTTAGGGAAGCTATGAACTGCACACTTCTGGATACGATGTGGCCATGTTGCATGCATCAACTCATGGAGGCTATGTTTACCTATACAAGACCTACAGAAGATAAAGCAGGTGAGAATTCTATAGGGATGGGAGGGGTCTCCAAGATGCCAGTGTAAATGGAAGAGCTATTGGGCGATAGTAGCTTCTGAGTAAGAGAGAGAGAGGAAGTCATTCTTCTTTAGGGATATGGACTATTAGGTTGCTCTTGCCCCAGTGGATGGCCATACAACCTCATACACATGGTCCACACTAATTGGCCTCAGTTACTCTAACAAAATAACTAAATGAAAAGAGGGCTTGAAGATGGAGAGGAAAGGAAAGAGAACACTGGACGGGCTAGAAAGGAGGTAGTGTATTATGCATATGATTGATATAAGTGGATAACACCATTATTATAATAAACTTATTTTTATTTCTGTGTCTATGTGTATATATGTGCATGTGCGCATAGGTGTCCTGAGAGGTCAGAAAGTATTGGATCCTCTGGAACTGAAGGAGCGAAAGTTACAGAAAGTTGTGAGCTGTTTGACGTGGGGGCGGGAAACAAATTCCCAGTTACAGAAGAGAAATCAAGTACTCCTGCTGAGCTATCTCCCAGCACCTCCCCAGATATTCTTTAAAGGGAAATAATCCTATTTGATCGTCCTTTAGTTAAAAGTGTTTGGGGGATAAAACTGTTTTGAATTTTTAAAGATTTGCATATACATAAAAAGCTCTCTTGGACATAAAGCCCAATTTTAAGCATAAACCATTTCTGTTTCGTATATACCCCATGCACATATCCTGAGGTCATTTTATGCAATACTTTATTTAGCATGTCATACTTTCATGGCAGCTCATTGTATAAAGTAAGACATAGGATTTGCCATGGGTAGAACCACAGTAGTGTTGGAAAAGCTTGAGACTTTTGGAACATTTTGTATTCTGGAATCTTGAAGATATTTTCCCTGTAACGTGTTTCTGGATCAAGCTGTCTGAACGCTTCCAGGTTTTCACAATGCAGTGATGGGCTTCTTCATAATGAGTTGCTGTAACTTTTCACCAGATTCAACTGATGAATGAGTGCTGTTCTCAATTCACTGCAAGTTTTTTCTTGAATGGAAATGGCCATTAATTTCTAGTTTCCTTTCACTTAACAAGTGCAAAACGGCACTGTAATTATGCCATGACTTGAAATCCACTTGAGGACGCTTTCATGTGTTTCTTTGTTATATATTCTTACTCTTTGAATTGCACCAGGTTTTTGTAGGGCTCATTGTATGCCAGAACTATATTTTTAGATTTGTTTCTTAGACTCCTAAGAAACAAGATTCCTCGATACTTCGAATCTTACCATTGAGTGTGATTCCTCTCTTGCGGAACAAGGAGAGAAACGAAGAGTGAGAGACCCATGTTTTCGTCTTCAGCAGACTTGGGTTTTCTTCATCACTGCTCGGGGCTTCTCTCTCAGCATGTCTGCTTTTACAGGTTAGCCACTGTCTTTGCTTTAGAGAATGGTGCAAAGCTCCTGCCTGGTGTATGGGAAACCACTCACTGGTATTAGGTTTGCTCAGTGGGTGGTTTTCATAAATGCTTTTCTTTAGAAGAAGCAGCCCTGGGAGGCATGAAAGGCACAAGGCTTGCCAGCAGCTGCTAGGATATGCTGGAGGTTCCCAGGGTTGAATCTATTGCTCCCATGGATTGATTGAATTTCTGTTCTGTCAGCCAGTGTAACTGCACACTGTGATGTGCTGTTCCATGATTTCAACACGAAAAGGATGCGGCAAGAACAGAAGACAGGATCCCAGAGAAAACGTGATCCAACCCAACACCATACAAATGAAACACACGGCCTGATCTAGCGTGAGAGCTACTTACACAGACTAAGGAAGATGGAACCTCGGGGTCAATATTTGCATTGTTAGCAAGAATATATTGTTGTGCACATAGCCAGAGAGTTGAGACAAAGTTATGAGAATTTGTTTTGCCTGTAAAACCAGAACCTGCTTCTTTTTCCTCCATCCTTCTATCATTTTGGATATGAATGACTAAAAGCTAGGATTGTGTTTAGAGAAATTCCTTGGTACAGTGGACAGAGCCCCAGGCTGGGATACTCTCGGCTTTGCTGTCTACCAGCTGCACACCTGGGTATGCTCCTTGCCTGCCTTGGGCCACCTTGGCTGTTGGAAATGACAGTGAGCCTCTGGCATCAGGCTTGGGTTTTCAATCTCCCATTCTAGTGCTGTGGTGTAGTTTAGGTTTGAGCACACATTGTCATAGGAGAGACCAGAAGTGATTCTGTGGCTTGTCACAGGCTGGGGACAGTTTTGTCTCTGTCTTCTTTTTGAAAATATTATATTATTAGACCAACTCTACATAATAATTGAAAAGA